TGAGAGACAGATATGGTTCCCAGTTGGTCCTCATGGGTGCCTCTTTTTATCCTCCTTGGCTCCAGTGTGTCATTATTCTTATCCACATCCAGCTTTTATTCCTGAATAAATTGCGGGTCCAACTGACCTGTAGTGATTGATGTTGGGCTTAACACTAGCCACAGAAGCAACGACCTGTGCAGACTTTCTACCAACTCCCACAAATCGATAAGGTCTAACCCCTTCCATTAATTCCTCATTCTAATCACTCACAGTGCTTCTACTCTGATTTTAATTGATATACCAGGTAACCACTTTTATTAGTTACTGAAGGATGTTCTTATTCTTTACCTTTTAAAGCGTATGATATATACTCTTCTGCATCTGGTTTTATCATGTAACAATATCTCTTTGAGATCCTTTCATGCTAATACATAGAGAATTCTCCCGTTGCTTTTTTATAGTTGTATAGTATTCCATTGTCGAGATGTACCATATCTTTTTTACCAGTTCCCTATAGATAGAAATTTGAATGAAAATTGTGCAGGGATGTGTGTGTGTGTGTGTGTGTGTGTGTACATGTTTTCACATTGTGTACCACACTGAGTAGTAAGGGTCTTGACATCAAGGGCCTTGTTTTCCTTGTGTCCTTAGAACCTAACAAAGCCTAGCGCATAGTAGATTCTCAGTAAATTGTTTGTTGAAAGAAGGATGTACTTCTCCACTTTCTCCATAGGCGATCCTGTTAACACCCGTCACTTTCATTTCCATTTACTCTTAAATTTCTATTTTCAGCCAAGGCTACCCTGAAGGACCCAGAAATCAAACTCCCATCTCTGCCTCAGCCCAGAATGTCTAATTGCCTCCTCCCCATCTCCACTTGGATGTTTCACAGAATTCCTCTGTCTCAGCATTTCCAAAACTGAACTTCTCACTCCTAATCCCCTCCAACCTACCTGCTGTGCTTTGGATATGGTTTGTTCGTGCCCCCAAAATCTTATGTTGAAATGTGATCCCAGGCCAGGTGCGATGGCTCACACCTGTAATCCCAGCACTTTGGGAGGCTGAGGAGGGCAGATTACTTGAACTCAGGAGTTTGAGCCCAGTCTGTCCAACATGGCGAAACCCCGTCTTTACTAAAAATAAAAAATTAGCTGGGCATGGTGGCAGGCGCCTGTAATCCCAGTCACTTGGGAGGCTGAGGCATGAGAATCACTTGAACCTCATAGATGGAGATTGCAGTGCGCCGAGATTGTGCCACTGCGCTCCAGCCTGGGCAACAGAGCAAGACTCTGTCTCAAAAAAAAAAAAAAAAAAAAAAAAAAAAGAAATGTGATCCAGGCAGAATGAGAGTGGTGGCTCTCATGCCTGTAATCCCAGTATTTTGGGAGGCTGAGTGGGGCAGATCACTTGAGGCCAGAAGTTCGATATGGGCCTGGCCAACTTGGTGAAACTCCATCTCTACTAAAAATACAAAAATTAATTGGGCATGGTGGTGTACGCCTGTACTTCCAGCTGCTTGGGTGGCTGAGGCATGAGAATTGCTTGAACCCAGGGGGTGGAGGCTGCAATGAGCTAATAGCGCCTCTGCACTCCAGCCTAGGCAACAGAGTAAAACTGTCTCAAAAAAAAAAAAAGAAAAAAGAAAAAAAAAAAGAAAGAAATGTGATTCCACAGTGTCTCCAGGGAGGTGGGGCCTAATTGGGGGTGTTTGAGTTGTGGTGCCATTCTAGGTAGTGAGTGAGTTCTGGCTCTGGTGAGGCTGGATGAGTTCTCACAGGAAAGGATTAATTCCCAAGAGAGTAGGTTGTGCTAAAGCCAAGATGCCCCTCGGATTTGGGCTGGGATTATAGGCACGTGCCACAACGCCCGGCTAATTTTTGTATTTTTAGTAGAGACGGGGTTTCACCACGTTGGTCAGGCTGGTAAAGACCAAAACACTTCTTATATTAAATATTAAAGGAAATATGAACTATATATATATAAGACAGATAATGAAAATGAGCAAGATATTTATTTATCCAATTATTCCATCTCAGGGTCACAGGTGGCCAGAGTCTATCCTGGCAGCTCAGGACAGGAACCAACCCTATACAGGATGCCATCCCATTGCGCACACATGTGCGCATATGCACACACACACACAAACACACACACACACATACACACATAGACTGGGACAATTCAGACAAGCCAATCCACCTAAAGGGCACATCTTTGGGATTTGGGAGGAAACCAGAGGAACCAAGGAAAACTCTGACATGGGGAGAGAGTGCAGACTACACAGACAGGGGACCCAGCCAGGAATCAACTTTTTCTCATCAATGTTTTAATTGAATTGATGTTATTGGAGGTCCTGCTCTACTTAACTCCTCCAAGTACCCTAAAAGTCTCAATCCCAATACATCACTGACTCATAATGGATCCTGTCACATAAATCAGGTCCAGATGTGGATGAGGTTCCTAAGATATAATTCCTCAAGAACAGCTCTGAGCACTGTTTCTCTGAAGGCCTATGAGCTAGAGACGTTATCTCCTCTCCACGGACCCAGCATACAGAGTTGGCAAGCGGAAGATAAGCACAGTAGACACTTTTGTTCAAAAGGGGAAAAAACAGGACTGACAGCTGCCACTGGGTCATAGTAATTCTGAAATCCAGCAAGGCACGTGATGCCAGTTCCTTGATTGAGTCCTCTCCTGCTCCTTGGGAATGATTACCTGCAGCTCCTGGCTCTATCCTTCTGGCTCATGGGTTTCTTTTAAGTCGTCCTTTCTTTCCCATAGGAAATAGCCCATGTTTGCATCTGAATAGCCTTCTCAGAAGGCTTCTTAGAAGGCTGGGGCCCACATGTCCCATTTTATTTTTGTGCTCTGCCTTTTCTGGTATAATTGTCCCTTGCTATTTGCGGTGGATTGGTTCTAGGACTCAGATGCTCAAATCCTGCAGTCAGCCCTGCCAGACCTGGGGATAAGGACTACTGCATTCCCAGTTGCTACTTTATCTTCAAACCTAGCATTTTGATTGGCTACCGAATGGGGTGGAATTATCATAACTCTTGGCCTTTGAAACTATTCTCAGTTTTCATTCCCCTGAATACTTTGTAAATTCTACACATTGAGCACCTACTGTACCCTAACACTGTTTTAAGAATCAGGGATATCGCAGTGAATGAGATAGACAAAAATAGCTGCCTTATGGACCTGCCATTCTAGTGGGGAAGGCAGACAATATGCAAATAAGTGAGTAATATAAGAGGAAAAACTTTGGGAGGCTGAGTCGGGAGGATTACTTGACACCAGGAGTTCAAGACCTTCTCTTTACAAAAAAAAAAAAAAAAAATTAGCCAGCCATAGTGGTGTATGCCTGTGGCTACTCAGGAGGCTGAGACAGGAGGATCACTTGAGCCCAGAAGTTCAAGGCTGCAGTAGGCCCTGATTATGCCACTGCACTCCAGCACTGGCAACAGAGCAAGACCTTGTCTCAAAAAAAGAAAAAAAAAAAAGAAAAGAAAAAAAAAAAGGAGAAAAGCCGTAGGGAGATGGCAATTTTTGTGTTTATGTTGTGGTGACAGAGAGAGGGACTTCAGTTTTAAATAGGGAAGACTATTTCACTGAAAAGGTCACTTTAAAGTCAAGACCAGAGGAAAGTGAGCGAGTGGCCAAGCAGATACCTGGAGGAAGAGCTTTCCAGGTAGAGAGAAGTACAACTGCAAAAGTCTGATGTAGATGTGTACCTTCTCCTTTCTTTTTTATTTATCTTGGAAGAGACAGTCTTGTTATGTTGCCCAAGCTGGTCTCGAACTCCTGGGCACATGCAAAGTGAAAGCAGAGAAAAGTAGACTTACCCCAGAAGCTGATGGTCCTGCAGTGTGCAAGGCCATTTCAGAATACACATAGAGAAAACAGGAGAATAGGTAGCGAGGGTTTTGCGGAAAGAGCCAATTTTAGCTGAAAAAGTAGGGGAAACCCCAGACATTGTGCCATCTCAGGGTTGGGACTGCTTGCCTAGATTTTGAGGTTTTTTTTTTTTTTTTTTCCCCCAGACCCCTCAACTTCTGAGATCTCAATGGGAAGCTGCTGATCACCAGTTTTAGGTGTTTTTATCTATTGGGAGACTCTTTCCCTGGTTTTGACTGCAACCAATTATTATTTTAGAGAGATAGCTTAATCTGACCACCACGTCATGGTTGCCTCACATTGCTGGTGGGGGAGTGGCCCCACTCCTGCCCTGCTCAGGTCTAACTACTTACTTACTGTAACAATTGCAAGGTTTTTGGATGGAACAATTGAAAGAATGGAGTTTGCATGAACCAAATAAGAAAAGACTATTAGAGGGCATTGTTAAAGATGGAGACAAAAGTTCCTAGTGGATCCTGATGTGTTCAGATGGGGCTGGTGCTTGGGAGGCTGCTCTGTGCTTACAAGAAGAGTTCTACCAGGTCCATCTTTATCACATCTTCTTTAATACTAAGTTCAGAGAGGCTTTAGCTCATTTTCCATTTTCTCGTGCTGTCTCCTCTGCCAAAGTGTCTATTTCTCCTGTCTCTATTACTGAGTCACACAATTGCTGTAGTCATTTGCAGTCTACTAGAACGATAACACACATTGGCATCAGACAGACCTTGGTTCAAAACCCTGCTCCACCAGTTTCTGTGTTGAGCTAGACCAAGTGACCTGATATGTTCGGTCTCAGTTCCTTATTTGTAAAATGGTGATAATAATTTTTGGTTAGGTAGTTAAAGTAAGGATAAATGATGCCTTCCGAAGAAGGACACAATTGGAATGGCCAGTTTACCCCTTGACCTCTCTTCGGTGGCATTCTTTATTCTGGAGCAAGGAGGGATGGCTGAGGGAATCTGTCTGTGGGTCCAACATGGCGCCGTCCTGCTCCTTGTACAAGCCTCAAAGATGGGGACAACCGTTTGGGAGCAGACATGTTTGTAGCACGTGATCCAGGCTCTGTCCCAAGGCAGCCGGAACGTGACGCAAGGTTGAGGCGGGGCTCCTCCTCCGCACCCTGGCGTCGAGCGTCTCGTGACAGGTACTTCCGCTCGGGGCGGCGGCGGTGGCGGAAGTGGGAGCGGGCTTGGAGTCTTGGCCATAAAGCCTGAGGCGGCGGCAGCGGCGGAGTTGGCGGCTTGGAGAGCTCAGCAGAGTTCCCTGGAACCAGAACTTGGACCTCCCCTCTTCTGTCCTCCGTTGAGTCTCCTCCTCGGCGGGAGCCCTCGCGACGCGCCCGGCCCAGAGCCCCCAGCGCAGAGGCCGCGGTAAGCAGCGGGCCCAGCCCGGCCGGCGGCCTGGCCCCATCCCCCTCCTCAACTCCTCGGTCGCCAGGGCCTCGCGTCCTCCCTGTCCTCCTGGCAGGCTCCAGGCCCAGCCCTGGCCTCGCGGGCAAACTCGGCATCGCTCAGGCCCACGGAGCAGGCCAGGACCCCACCCGGGTTGGAGAGGTCGGAGGTCGTCGGGCGTGACCTCTGGCCGGGTTGCCGGCCCCGGCCGCCGGTCTCCGCTCTGTTACTGTTGGCGTCGATCTCAGAGACCCAAGAGGGTTCATTGACTTGGACGGCCCTGCGCCGCGGCAGGACGCGCTAGGCGGTGGAGTTATTTAGCGTGGCGAGCAGGAGGGTGTCAGAGCCCACGCCGCCCGCCGCCGTGCCCACCTGGCGGGCATGGGTCACAGGCGCTGGGGGCCGAGCCGCGTTCCCATCCGGCTCTTCAGTTGAACAGCCTGACCCTGTTAGTGGGAGAGGTTCCCTGACGGCAACTGAGTCAAGGCGTGAGTCAGGTCACGTGCGCTGGGATCGCCTCAACACTTGTGTACATTGAGGCGCCTCTGGCGCTGGGAGACAGGGAGCTTTTTGTCCTAGGCATGTTACGGTAAATCCTGAGAGAAGTTTTTCAACTTAGTTGGGGAAAGATGGTAGTTGGATGTAGAGTTGTGTTTCCATTCGGACCGTGTTGGGGGCCTCTTTCTGCATTCATTTTACGCTTGATACCTAATGGGTCATAAGGGGAATATTGAGAATACTGACAGCAAATATTTGAGCGTTTGTTATATGCTAGGGAGCGGTGGCAAGACCTTTTAACAGATCATTATGTTTAGTTCTTTGAACAACCCTCTAAAGTACCACTGTTGTGCCCACTTAACACAGTGGGAAATTGAACAGAGAGGCTAAACCATTTGACCAAGGTCACACAGCTAAGTTACGAAGCAAAGATGCAAGCCCAGGCAGTCAGACTCCAGAGCACTTTATTCAATTTGTAGGTTATACTGCTTTCACGTGCCCCTGAAGCTTGTGGTTTATCTTTTGCCACCTGGTATCTGTACCTCACTGCCTTCCACCACCTCCTTTCTTTCTGTTGATGTCGTTTGAAAGTCTTTCTGGTAGCATCAGTTCTCTCTTAAAGCCATAAGAAATGCCGTTTGCGACTTATCACACATTTTGTAGTGTAGTTGAATTAGGAGCTCTTGAATACTGGCGGGGTACTTAACTGAGGTTTGAAAAATTTTGCAGGTAGGCCTGGCAAAGCTGCCTAGCGAACCTTTCTTACAACCTTAGTTGATGGCTGTCCAGCCAGTTGGTTCTTCCCTATTCAAAATACTGCATCTTTGGTTTCCTAAAGAACAGGCTCTTGTCTCTTTCTTGTGACTTAAGCAGCTGATGAGGCACATGATTTCTCATCCATGGATTAATAAAGTCTCCTCTTAGTGTGTTTCTCTCTTCAAACCTGGGAAGGTTTGTTCAGATTTGGATTTAAGAACTGGAAGGTGAGTTAGGAGTGCTTCTCCTGAAGGGACTGGCTAAGTTAAAGCTTAGCGTTCACAATCCTGTTGTATTCAAATTTGTCTTTTTTTTTTTTTTTTTTACCTTTGCTACCCAGCCTAAAATATTTAAGTGAGTAATAAGTACTGTAGCTTTATATAATGTTTGAGTTTAGAGGAGAGTAATGATAGGCACCTTTTTATTCATTCATGAAGTATTTTGAGTATCCATTGAGTATCAGCAATGTATCAGGCGTTGTGGGATGTTGACTCAGGGAGATAGGCATGGTTCCTGTCCTCAGGGAATTTTTAAAAGGTGAATGATCTTGGCCAGAAATTCTATTGTGGAATGATTTGGTGGTAGAACTTGAGGCTTTTTGGAAAGAGTTATTTCTCATTTCTGCTGATGAATCCGTAGTAATCCAAAGGATGGTGTTCTGGCTAACTTTAAGGCTTTGTTAATTTTAACAACAGCATTTGTATGCTCTTCAGAGAGTGTAGAAGATAATATTACAGTTTCTAATTTATCACATCTTTTAAAGAGTAACCTTCAACACTCAACTTGTTTCTCCTTTTGCTCTGGTGGCATTTGTTTTATTTTATTTATTTTTTGACACGGAGTTTCTCTCTTGTTGCCCAGGCTGGAGTGCAATAGCGCGATCTCAGCTCACTGCAACCTCTGCCTCCCGGGTTCAAGCCATTCTCCTGCCTCAGCCTCCCGAGTGGCTGGGATTACAGGCATGTGCCACCATGCCCGGCTAATTTTGTATTTTTAATAGAGACAGGGTTTCTCCATGTTGGTCAGGCTGGTCTCGAACTCCCTACCTCAGGTGATCTGCCTGCCTTGGCCTCCCAAAGTACTGGGATTACAGGCATGAGCCACTGCGTCCGGCCGACTCTAGTGGCATTTTTTTGGTTCACTCGAGAAGTAGTCCATGTCACTACCATTACCTTGCACTGCAGTGTCTTTGAGCAAAGGTACATTTGGACATTTGGCATACTGGATTTTTTTCTTCAGCTGGCAAGAAAGTTTAATGTAGCACTGATATTGTGTCGGCCATAGTTTCAGTACCATTCTACATAGAAAAGCTGTGCTACCCTATCTCCCACAAACTTTCTAGGTTCCCTTCAAGAGAAGATTTGGATTTTGCATTTGTGGTAGAACTGCATGAGTAAACAGAGGGTGGAATGTAGAAGATACTCTAAAAATAGTTTTATTAGTATATCCTTCTAGGTAGTTAGCAACCACGTGGGGCAATTTTTTTTTTCGTTTTTGTTTTTGTTTTTGTTTTTGTTTTTGTTTTGAGACGGAGTCTCGCTCTGTCACCCAGGCTGGAGTGCAGTGGCGCGATCTCGGCTCACTGCAAGCTCTACCTCCCGGGTTCACGCCATTCTCCCGCCTCAGCCTCCGAGTAGCTGGGACTACAGGCGCCCGCCACCACGCCCGGCTAGTTTTTTGTATTTTTAGTAGAGACGGGGTTTCAGAACCATGTTAGCCAGGATGGTCTCGATCTCCTGACCTCGTGATCCACCCGCCTCGGCCTCCCAAAGTGCTGGGATTACAGGCTTGAGCCACCGTGCCCGGCCTTTTTTTCGTATTTTTTTTGATGCCAACTGTGTCTAAGCTCACAAAACCTGTATCAGAGAACAACGCTTTATAGTAAAGTGTGGCTTTGAATCAGTTTTCTGACCCCACTGCCAAGTGAAGCCAAAAAATTTTGGTTATTTGATTAGCTTTTAACACGTCTTCAAAGAGTTCTTTGCTAATAACATTTTTGCTCTTACTTTGGCATTAGCTTTTGTATACAAAGATGCAGCAAACACAGACCACACAAATACGACGGTTGTCTTATGCACATTGCTCTCTGGCATTTGACACAAATATTTTAGTTTTTCCCATGATAAAGTATTTAACTCCCCATTCATATAATTCAACAAATACAGCTGAGATAGATTTGACCAGATGTTGGACTTAGAGCTGTAGGCAGGTTTTTTTTTTCCTGGAGAGGTAAGGATTAGAAGTGCTTCTGAATAAGGCTAAACAGAGGTTCCCCTTGGCACTAAATGTCTTCTGAAGGCGACTGAAACTGGAGAAATGAACTCCCCGCCTCCCCCCTTATTTTTGGCTATTGGCTTGCTGTTGATGACTCTTACCTCTCATATAAGGAAGGTTGCCGCTGTGTTCTCAGGCATCCATTCCTTTGTGTTACCATGAGCTTATCTGTTAATATCATCTAATAGTTCTCTGTGCTTCTCTGTCTGCAGTTTGCTGCAGAAACATTTTGCAATGTGTTGATCTTTTCAGTTATTTGCTCTTACATCTTCCCTCTATTCTGTTTTTCCCCACACTCCATATGGCATTAAAGACAGAAAAATAGTTTGCGTTTGTGTTTTAAAACTTTTTTTTCTTTTTAGGAGGAGTCTCGCTCTGTAGCCCAGGCTGGAGTGCAGTGGCGCCATCTCGGCTCACTGCAAGCTCACCCTTCCAGGTTCACGCCATTCTCCTGCCTCGGCCTCCCGAGTAGCTGGGACTACAGGTGTCCACCACCACGCCTGGCTAATTTTTTTGTGTTTTTAGTAGAGACAGAGTTTCACTGTGTTAGCCAGGATGGCCTCTAGGATGGTCTCGATCTCCTGACCTCGTGATCCGCCTGCCTCGGCCTCCCAAAGTGCTGGGATTACAGGTGTGAGCCACCATGCCCGGCCAAAAACTTATTTTTAAAACATTTCTTAATGGTAGTTGTGGTCACTGCAATTTGTGAATCAGAGGTGTAAGTGATGTGGCGAGTGAAATCAAAACAGGTTTTTTAGCAGTGTCTGTTACCAGTTTCAATTTTAGTATCCCAGGCTGTGATTACAAAAACATTTTTAAGAATAGCTACTTGCAAAATATCTCCTTGGGGGAGGAGGAGAAAGCTTGGAAGTTGGTTCCAACACTAATCTACAGTACTGGCCTTGTTCATTTGCTTGAAGATGCAGTACTTAACTCATGGGACCTGGAGTCTCTGTTTTGGTGATGGCGTCACTGCTGAGAAATTAAGTTTGCCTGATTCTTTTGTCCACTTCTGGTCTCCTGGGACTGTCTACAGTTGGGACCAAGCAAATATGAGGAAGCCTATTAAGGGAAGCCTGGGACCAGGGCAGTTTAGGAATTCTCCAGCCTTACTTGTCTCTTAGTTGGTCCTTAGTTGTGTGGCTGCTGCCGTAGGAGGTTCTCTCTTCTCCCTCCGCCTTTCCTTTCCAGCTTTGCTTCATAATACTGGGCATTAACCATCTCACATTAGGAGTCCCTTAAAAATTACTTAGTGAGATAAATAGTTATATCATTGATTTCCAGTATTGGTATGTAAGCATAATAAAAAGTTGGTTTCCATTTAGTAAGCTTTGTACTTTGAGTTATTTGAGAGTACGTAATTACAAAGCTGCTATGAATTAACCTTAAGTGACACAGCATAGACTTTATGAAAAATAGTGTCCCTTATATATGGTATGCAGTCAGCCAAC